GGAGTGGCCCATTCATATTGCGCTTTCTCTTGTCTATTGTTAATTCATATATTCTCATTGAGTTTTCTCTATTAACACTTTGAGTCACATTTCCTATTGTATACTCAGCAGCTGGACCATTACTTTACGTTGTGGCTGATATTTAGTTTGTAATTCCTATCTACACACACCAAATAACCTTATGGTAAGATAATAATAAAATGGGATGGTTGGGTGGCTTATTCAATTTAAAAGCTTTAAAGAATGGAGGTTCAATATTCTCTACCTCAAAATTTGGAAGTTAGATTTCAAAAAAATTGCAATTTAGTATTGACAATACATAATTGTAATTAAGAAATTTACTTGATTCAACTCACTTCATTGCGTTCCCATGTAATAACAATCAACTTCAATTAATTAAATTATAATTTTTTTAACCATGTTTTAAGGGTACAATTTTTATTTTTTTATTATAAATTTATATAAAAAATAAAATTAATATTAATATTATGTGACTAAATTTAATTAAAATATTAATTTTTATTTTTATAATATAATTTTGTAATTAAAATGTCAATTGATTACACTTTTAATCTAAATTTTAAATCACAAGAAACAAGTTTAATTAAATTTTGAATTGTATATCTAGTAATCTATGTTTCTCTACAACAATGGAACAAACTTGTTGGTGGACCTTTCAAGTTTCAAGGTTATGAAGATAAAATGATACAATGTAAGGTTGATTTTTTCTTAAATTATGAAAGGTAAATTGACATTGATGGGATTTTTTTCTTTTTTATTTTTTCAAACAATGGGAAATTGGGAGCTAATTAATGGAATATGATGGAAGTAGTTGGTGTATTGTTTGTTTTTATACGATTTTTCCATGCGGGTCACAACTCAACCCACGTGGTTTCATCATGAATAACAAAGAATTAATTACATCCTTCATAATTTATTCACCGAATGTGTTAGACAAAAGGTTTATAATAAAAAAATGGACAAGATAGGAATAATGACAAATTAACCAAATATTTTTTTTTAAACTTATAAGCGAGTGAATGAATTGATAAGAGATTTTTTCAATTTAATCAAATATTTTAGTTTTGAATTTTAAGAATGTAACATCATTAAAATTTGTGACAAAGAGTTTTACTACTTATTAAATCTTACTCGACTCAAATTCAAATTAACCGATGGTTTGGTGAATTTTTAGATATTAAATAATTCATACCACACAAAAAATAACCAAACTTTTTTTTTTTTGTTAGAAAAAGCTGCTACAATATAGCAATAATGCACCCATGTGAGAAACGTTATGATTTCGGACAAAAAAACAGAGAAACGTTAAAGGAAATGACTTTCTTAGGTTTGGTCGGCCGTTAGAGCGTCTTAGTTTTATCCGATCAATTTTTGTTTATTCTTAGATTAGATTTTCCTTTTTCCCCCTTTTTTTTTTTTGCAATTTTACTAACATCTAAAAAAATTATTTTTAGGCTCCAAAAGTTAACTGAATTTGACTTAATCGTTTATAAATATATCGATAAGGTAATAATTCATTTATATATAAATTTTGTATATTATATTTATATAAAAAATAAATAATTAAAATTTTATATAAATATAATAGATAAACTTTATATATAAATAAATTATTATTTATATAAAAATCTTATATATTATATTTTTATAAAATTTTAATCATTTAAAATTTCAGTTATAAGTTATTAATTTTCTCCCGAAACATCAAACCAACATATTAATTAAAATTACATCTAAGCATTATGACTTATCGATCATAAGTCAATTTATAAAAGTATATCCTTTAATTCAAGAGATGTACTTCGAATCTTTCTCTTTTATTATAAACACGTTCAAAAAGAAAAACGTATTAATTAACCAGTTAACCGTAGGAGAAGAAAACAAAAAAAAAGCCGGTTAACCTGATCTTGAAAACGAACTTTGTCTGTTTGGTAGTGCTTGTAGTTTTATATATATATATATATATTTAAGTGATAAATTTAAATTTTTATTAAAAAAATATAAAAATTATTTTTAAAAATAAAAAAAATAAAAAATGAGTAAAAAAATTTGTAAAAACACTTAAATTTAAAATTTTCATAAATTTTTTTACTTATTTTTTTACTCATTTTTTTTATTTTTAAAAATAATTTTTAAAATTTTTTTAAATATAAAAATTTTTAAATATATTTTAAACTTATAAAATATGATTAATATAAAAAAAACTAAAACTTCTAAAATCACTACCATACAAGCGCGTTGGTAACTTTATCAATCAGCTTGATGGTCACCCATCTTATTGGGGCTGGTAAGCTATTCATCAAACCTAAATTTGAATATTCAGTTGCTAACATTTGATAATATTAATTTATTAGATATTATGCTTATAAAAAGAAAAAAAAAAAGAAAAGCGCGTTAGGGGAAAAAAACCAAAAGCCGGTTAATCTGACCTTGAAAATGACATTTTGTTTTCTTTTTTTTTTGGTAATAAAATGACATTTCATTTTCACAAGGTAATAAAAATCACTCACGAAAGGCCACGTGAAGGAGAATAAGTGGAATATTAAACGGACACAAAGTACCTTGACCTTCTTGGATTCATACACAACCTTGGGGAGGGGACACCCAGTCTTTTTATCTGTTTCAAACGGAAGGGAAGACCAAAACGGAAAGCCTCTCACTGAAACTGAAAGTTTCCATCTTCATCGGAAAAAGAAGAAGCAAACGCCGCCGGTTTCCAGGACTTGATCAGCAGAGTCAGAACTCGAACCAAAGGTACGATCTTTCTCTGCATTTTGGTATATGGGATTTTTTCTCCTTCATCTAAATTGAACTGTTCTTGAAAATTTTCTCCCTTTTTTTTCTTCAAATAATTAAGGGTTTCTTTCTTTTTTTTTTTTCTTCTCAAAACATTTTTTTGGGGGTTTATCTCAATATTAGATTTTTGATCTGTTTCAGCAGATATTTTCTGTGTTTTTCATAGTTTGGAGACAAAAAAAAAAAAGAAAAGAAAAGAAAACTGATTTAAGGACAACGGAAAGGGTGCATTATTGTCTTAAACTTTTACTGTAGTAGTAGGGCTTGGGAAGAAAAAAGCAAATCCAAGAAACAAAGACAAGATCCATGTTGAGAGCTGGAACCTGCTGGATTTAAAAAAAAAAAATTTTTTAACAAAACCTTCACGAAAAGGAACCTTTTATTAAGGGTGAATGTAAATTTTGTCTCTTAATTTTGAAGGTTTATATAATTTATAATTTTTAAATTTTTTATGTATTTTTTTAATCTTTAATTATAAAAAATATATATATAATTTTTTAATAACACATTATATTTTTCTAATACCCTTAAAAATTTATTTATAACATTTTATATATATTTATTTATAAATTTAGTGCTTATCAATCTCCACTCTTAAAAACAATTA